AATAATAAGAATAATTATAATTATAATTATAATAATAATAATAATAAAAAGGATAATAATAATAATAACAAGCAAAAAATAAATAATAACAATAACAATAAATGTAGACAATGGAGAAAGTTAAGCAGTGCAAAATAAATATTTTAAATTTGACAGCACAAGAAATTGTATTTTCGAAAACTTCTTCTGTATACTTTTATCATAATGAAAGTTTAATTTAATTCCTGTTGCATAAAATGCTGACTCTTATAATTATTCATTTATTTAACCTTTCTTTTAATATGCAAATGCAAGTAAACAAAAATTAAAACCCTGCGATTATACATTAATAATTAAATGAATAATTTATCGGCTTTTGTGCACCTTTCCAAATTCCAAATAAAAAGAAGCAACAACAAGAGACTTAGGCAACGAACTTGACTGTGGCGGACACTCCGTCTTAGAAGCTGTTATTCTTTGCCGTGTTTTTTGGTTCTTTGTGCTACTATCGAACGATGACAAAGCCAACAAGTTGTCGAAAACATCAAAGTGCCTCGATTATGACTGTTAAGAGCTCTAGTCTCTTCGTTGCCTTCACGCTTTTTATTGTGCCTGAAGCACATAATCAAAATGACCTACCCGACCATATCAAAAATATATGTACGTAATATATATATATCTATATATATATATATATATATATATATATATGAGGAATTATAGGTGCTTTTGATTTATGATTCACAGGGTGAGGCGTTTCTAATTGGCTTAAAGCAGCGAAGTAGAAGTCTATGATGCCTACTTAAGTAGTTGCCTAATAGACGTATCTTTGGCAGCTACTTTTAAAGTACTTGTGGAAACGTGGCAATGACAGTTCGCTATTGCAGTCAGCCTGAGAAGAAGTATACGGAACTTAAAGTTGGCCAACAGACTTTGTTTTGAGCCTCCATAAACCATACACATGAAGATGTGTGGAGCATAAAATTAAGCGACAACTTAAACAAGAGGTTAGTTTATGATCAAATTAAGTTGCATAATTTGAAGCCACCTACTGTTGAGACATCAGCTAAGTATACTATTAACATAAACATAATATTAATGAATCATTCGAATAAGAGCCAGTCTCACAGCATCCTTTTGGTTAAGTGATGTCATTAGCCCAATATAAATCCTGACGAGGCGTAATATAGCTCTCTTCAAAACAAGTTCTGTGCTCTTTTGTTAACACTAACTGCAAAGTGAATTTTTTAACAAAACAAATCTGATAAGTTTATAGACTTTTAAGCATCAAACTTGTTTGCTAGAATAAATATCAAGCATATTGGCATATTAAAGCCGATAATTAAGTTTATAAAATTTGAAAAATAACATATTTATATATTTTAGCATCTTGCATCACAGCCAAAACGATTCGTCATGCGGGTCTTAATCAAAAACTATTTATATAAAGAATTTCCTGACACTGAGTTATAGTTGTGCATAAAATATATTTACCAGAAAAAAAGATGCTCCAATTTCTAATAATCAATTGGCTGCTGCTCTTCAAACACGTTGGTTCAATCTAAGACTTGAAGTTGGCCAAAGCAAATGCCATTCAATGTTAACTCTAAAATGGCATGACGCAAAGTGTGGCCTGTCAGCGCATGGAGGTCAGCATTATGCTCTGACATTTAGCCGCATGCCGCTGCTGCCCGTATATTAAGCGCTGGGCTGCCATATACAAAGCGGTCAGCATTTATAGTTAAAGTTGTTTCTACGCAATTTGCAACGCACGTGGCTTTTTTAACATGCTGGTTTTTTCCTTATTTTTTTTCTGCAATCATGTTGCATGCTGTAATTTAAGAACTTGGCATTTGGTTGTTAAATGCACACATAATGATCATATTTAAAATCGTGGTGTAATACAACTTTTTACGCATGCTATGTACGGTGGGAAGCTGTAACTTGATGTGGCAATAATACTTTAGACATAAACAGTTACAGTTGGGTTGACTTAAAGTTCATAAACATCGGCGAAAAAGAAGAAAAAACAAACAAAACAAAAACGGCAGACAAAAGTTCAAGTTCGTTGCCTAAGTCTTTCGTTTTGCCGCCAAAAAAGTTGACAAACGATTTATTTATTACACTTGAAGCGTAGCTGACATTTGACCAAATGACAAAAAATAAATAGAAAGAAAAAACTCACGTTGATGTGTTGTTTAAGAGTGTTTTTTTGCGCCTGGGCAAGTTCGTTGTCAAAGTCTTTTGTATTTCCTAGTGTTTTCATAACTTGTAATGTAGCTAAGCGCCCAAGACAAAGCAAACATGTTGCGCACTTCAAGAATAGCAACACCAACAACACAATGCGATAACAACAACAACAACATGCGTTATGTTAGGGGGAGCAAAACAAAAACATAAACAAACCTGATGCTTAGAATATGTTGTAATCTTGAGGCAGCATCAAAAGCAGAAAACATGTACATTATTTACACACTTCATTAATCACTAAAGATGGGTACTAAAGAAAAAAATGCCAACAGCAAACGTAAGGTTAGATGTCTAGGAGGTGGGGAAAACAAGATAGATTAGGTTACTTTTACTTGATCGTACCCTCTGCCGTCGACTGTCGGCAACAGATGCGGCTCATTGGCTTTTCAGCGATGTGCACGCAGCGCCAGTTAACGCATCAACACTTGAATGGAATACCAGCACAGCAGCAGCAACAACAACAACAACAGCAACAGCAACTAAAGTATAAGACAACAAAGTTGTAACCGTTTGTGAATACGAGCGTAGACAGGGTGGCTGGGGGGAATGTGTATGGGGCGTAGGTCTGCTTTTGGGCATTGTTGCTTGAATGACTTTTAAATTTATTTGCCATTTCTTTGCTGGCGAACGTTAATGAGCAAAGCAGACCAAGTCGTACTCAAACCGAACCAGGCAGGCAACAACATTCGCATTTTGAACTTTTATCTGGCCATCTGCAACAGCAACAACAACACAACAACTGGCGGGCAAAATTATATTGTATACAGCATTTGCTTACACTTAAAGCAGCCAGTTTGGTGTTTTCTTTTTTTTTCTCTTTGATTCCCCCTAGCTTTATTTCTTTCTGCCAGCTCAACTTTAACCCTCTGCCACATAAAACAAAATAACTAAAACACCTTCGCTTGGTGCGGGTGGACAACTGTGTGTGTGTGTAGGCTTGTGTGTGATGTGAAAGATGTTAAGTCACACATTTGGCCTAAATTTGTCTTTTCCTTGGCTATGGCTAAGCAATGTCTGCGGCAACTTGGCGCTTTTCTTTTGTTCATTTGCGCCACAAGGCTGGAAAAATCTGTAGCAACTCTTGACATTTAAGCAGCATTTCCTAATTCCTGCACAAGTACTTTCTGTGTCTGTGCTGTCGCCTCGGCTGTAATTTTAGGCGCTGTAATACAAAAAATTATCTTACCCAAGCATTTGCAGCTGCCCCAAGTGCCCCAAGCAGCCCATTCTGAGCCACTGCTGCCCCGGCTGCGACTGCTGTACATCCTTGAACTGCTGGTACTTTATCTAAGATGATTTACTAACAATGCTAAAAAATTCAGCTGTGGCCAATTCGGCAATGGCAAATTTATGCGGTAGAGCAAAAACAAATATACAATTAAAAACTGGTAGAGCCAAAAAAAAAAAAATAATAATTATTATTGAAATGTATGCCATCACTTTTAAGGCTGTCTAATTTTTCTCTATCTATGCATCTATGCTAAAAAACATATCTGTTGATTTATTAATCAGACAGTCCACTTGCTAAAAACATAAGCAGAGTTTTTGAATATCTTGTTAGAACAATTTAAATATTTAGTATATTCGTTAATTACACCCAGCTAATTTAGGCAAAAAGAAGAAACGACTGCAGCTGCTGCTGAGGTCGTTGACATTTAATTGCTATGACTTTGCGTATGATTATTAACTGATTAAGATTTTATGAATTTGCATTTTATATATAGGATAAAATTGCAATTAATATTAACAATCAAATATATTTAAGGACAAATGGAAGATTTCTCAGTTTTGCAAAAATTAATTATTAAACAATTTAAAGAAAACCTAAACTAATATTAGCACGCCATGCAATGAGAATGCAATTTTTAAAAGAATCTTTAACTAATTAGATGTAACAATTAATAATAAAAACATTTTGCAATAATATTTAAACGAAAATATAAAAAGATATAATAAGTAAAATGAAACAAATTCGTATCCCAAAATGAATAAAACGCATTTCTCAATATCAATTTTTTACACAAAACTAAAAACAAAACAAAATACAAATATAAAAAAACCTAATAATATTAAACTAATCCTAGATCTAGAAACTGTCTTAATATTAAAACATACAAAATTCATAAATAATTTTTTCATGCGTTGGCTATTCACAAAGATATTGATTTGATTGATTAAAATAATTCAAATGATTTAAATCAAGGCATTTCTTAAGCCGAACACAAAAAGACATATTCGGAGTAAATTCTGAAAGATAATTCCTTGAAATTAATAACGAGTAAAGAAAAACTTATGCAAGAACTATGCGCCTCAGAAATAAGCTGATTAAAGCACTGCAATCACGCTTCAATCCCAAAGTTAATTATGAAAAACACTTATTAAAATCACATGCTAAATTAAAGTCCATAAAAAAACTAGGTTCGTTTGTGAAAGGCAGCAGTTGGCTGAGCACTTTTGCCATTTATGGACAGCTAAGAAGTTACAGCTGACAAGATTCCAGGCTGCTGAGCATTCACTTACCTTTAGACGGCAGCATCAGCAGCAGCCTCAATGTCAGATTTATGTGTGTGTGCGTGGATATTTTTTTTCTGTGGCAACAAACTGTGGCAGCAACTTCTTCCTGTGCCCGCAAAGTGGTTTTGCTTTCGGTTTCGTGAGTGAAGTAATATGTTTTGCTTTATTATTATAGAGTTTTCCGCTGTTTTCGTAGTTTTTTCTCTCTCGTTGTATATTAGCTTTAATGTTGCATTTTTTATTCGATTTTTTAGTTGTTTTTTTTTTTTTATACTTTTATATGTCTCACTAAGGTTTTGTTTGTCTAATGCACAAATATTACGATTAAGTTGTAGTTAGGCGAAAGAAAAAAACAAAGTCTCTTCAAATATGATGTCGGTGGCACCCACACATCATCAGCAATGGTAATTAGTTTAATAATTCAAGTTGTGGTGTATGCCATCAAAATAACAGAAATTTCAATTTTAAAATTAAGAAAACTGTTAATCAGAAAAGTTTACTTGAAGAACATGAATTCTCAGGAACTTTTATTTAAATTTCTGAAAATTTTCTACAAAATCTGACAACAATTTTGGACAAATTTTGAAGTGACTTTGTTAAAGAAATTCATAGTAATCTCATTTCACGACATTTGTAAAATGTATTATTGTTCTGCACAAAGTCTGGTATATAAGGTATTTTATTTTAAAAAATAATATCAAGCCAAGTTCCAAGCCTAAGACGCTTTATGAAAATACACTTGAAACAATGCACAATTAATTTTGTTTAAGCACAAAACAGTTTCGAGATACAATAAAATTGTATAAAAAATCTTTTGAATTAAAGTACAAAATGTGATGCCAGGCCGCACAGAAGACGTCTTCACCCGTACGATATTCACATTTGAATGTTTCAATTGGCAAATGCGGCGTCCAACTTTAGTAGTTGAGCGGCTGCGACTCGGCCCCCGACTACAACTCCGACTCGGCGCACTCTTCTCCAGCGAAAACGCACAAACAACGACTCCCAGCAAAGTCACCCAAGAAAAGCAGTCGGCAAAGTCGCCGAAGCTACCGCAAATCTTCGCCGAAGCAAGTGAGCATCTTCCTCGACATCTACAACAACATTTTTCTGTTAACCAGCCAAAAACAAAGTCAAATCAAAAAGCAAAAACTAAAAAACCAGAAATACAAAACAAATCCAGTTGACTTTGCGACCGGTCCAGCGATCAGCTGTTGATGCTAAAGACAGCAAGACAGTTAACAGAGCGCCGTTAAGCTGTTACATTGCTGTTAACTGTTCACAGATATCTGTAAACGTCTCTGTGTGTCAAAGGAAGCCAATGGTTAAGAAAAGTACTGATTAAAAATAAGCATAAAGCATGTTAAAAGAAAGAATATACGATAATTGTAGTTTGATGTTACTTTAGAAAATATATTTTATTTATATTTATTTTATCATATTCTTTTATTAAAAAGAAATATTTGAAACTATTTCTTTTTACACATACAAATCTAATATATGTTGAACGAATATACATTTTTTTTATGTATATTGACAGAGTTGGCCTATTAATTAATAATATAAAAATATATAAATCAAAAAATGTAAGCTCAAGATTTAATAGCTTCATTATAAAACAAAAACATTCGAATGACTCATTTAATTGCTGCTGGGAAAGGGAAGCGGGCAGACATATCATTAATGCGAGCACGCTTGTGGGGGCCCTTCAGCAGCTGTCGAGGTGCGGGGTAAAGGCAAATTTCTAAATTATTGATTCGAAACGCTGTCATTGACAAGTTTATGACTTATGTTGATTTTAGTGTTGTTCAGGCCAAAGACAGAAGAGATGCGAGGCAGCTGAAGAGTTGATAGTGGACAGTTTTTATTATGATTTGCTAGCTTCTTGAAGATGATGGGCGCAGTGATTTTGACTGCGACTCGAAGCCCTGACAAGCGCCGCTGTTGCATAACAAACTGTTTGAGTTTTCGGCTTTGTGACGGCCGCTTCTTGGGCACAGCTTCTGTCGCTTCCTTCTCCAACTACACCTCCATCTCCATCTCAATCTCCAACTCCACGCGATGCAGATGGCAGCATTACACGCCGCATTCATTGCGCCTTCGATTATGATTTTGCTATAGGAAATGCTTAAATAATCGCAGTCGCAAATATTCCCACGAGTTTTTTCATCTTTTTTTCAATTTTTATTTTTTTTGTAGCTGCTATCTACTTCCAGACATCAGCAGCGTCTGATTGTCTGCTACATGAACGAATCCGCATTGGATTCTATTAAAAGCGCCGGTAATCGTCAGAAGCGATGCTGGTAATCACCGCCAAGACCCAAAACGAAAGACTGCAGAAACGAACTTGCCGTGCATGCTTAACTTAACGTGATTTTAATAGCGAGTCGGTTCTGCATTTCATATTCCTTCTTCACCATCAAGCATAAATAAATATGTATAGTTATGTATATAGACGGTAAATTGGCTCATGCAAATGAAATTGAACATTTTTAATACCCTGTAATCAATAACTTGAGCTCTAATTAGAATAGGATTCTAACAAGACTATGTAAATCCCTATTAAAAGATTAAATAACAATTTTAGGCGTTAAATTTATTATTTATGAATAATTATAATATATTTAATCTCATGATGTTTATTTGTTTTCTAATGAATACTGCAGATTTATAGGGGGAATTTTCTATACACGTTGATAAAGTAGCTGAGAATTTTTTAATATTATTTTTATTATTATGGTATAGTTACTATTAGCTATCGTTAATATTCTTCAACTATAAGTTCGGAGTTTAGTTTTAATATCTGTAGACTGAAACAGGGTATCTTGTGATCACTCAACTTACATCATATTTAATTTAAAAGAATTTTTTATTATAATTGATTGATTCATTTAACTTTTAATATTTGGAATTAACAATTTTTTATTAAGTATTTCAGTCATAATTATGTTTATAAGCGTGCTGAGTTATAACTGCAAAATATTTCCTAAGTGGAGGTTGGTGTGGTTTGAGAATCCCGTGGCAATCACGAGCTCAGATTTAATCTCGTTGTATCTTTAAGCCTAGGCGAGATAGAATAAAATTCCTACCATTAAATTCTTTAATTTCTAAGTGCGAATTTTAGCAACTCATAACAGTTCAAGGATATGTGCATAAAATGCAGCACAACATTGAAGACCCGAGTTTATCTAGATAATAAGAAAATTATTTGGCAATTTGTAGGCAAACTCATTGCCACAATTAATTCATTTTACAACAGAGCGCATTGCAGCTGCATATCTTTAAAGGCGAGCCAGATAGTTGGATGCTTGTGCACATTGGGCAACAACCTTAAAAGGTCGTTTTGCCATTTTACAGCAAAGTGTCAAATCATCGCCATAGCAGTTAAGGAGCCATAAACTAACCTATATTTAACCTCAAACTATCCATCAAAGTACATGGAATGAGGGCTTCTGTTTCTCTTGCAATCGAATGCGAGACAGCGAAGCCTTTTGTAAAATTGAAAAACCATTTAAGTCCCGTTAATTTTAACACCCATTTTCTGTGCCAGCGGCTTAGCTTAGATTGCCAAACAGAATCTCGAATGAAAAAAAATAAGGCGCAACGCTGGCATCGTAAACAAAAGCGAGAAGCAGCCGAAATACGTAATGCAAGCGATAATTATTACCTGCAGGCCCCAAAGACCCTACAGACCCAGAGAAACAGAGAGAGAGAGAGAGAGAGAGAGACGAATAGAGGGAGATTCCCCAAAAATAAAAAATAAAACATAATAGTAGCGAGAAGCTGCCGCAGTGTAGATGATTGAAAAGCAACAAAGATTTGCATAGAAACGTGCGATTTTCGGTGTGCTGCTAGCGGCACATGTTGGCCTCTATCTAGCAGATAGCCTTTGTATCTGCCACTGGAACGTTGCAACTACACACAGCAACAGCAGTAGCTGCAGCAGCAGTCGGCATCGTTTGTCGCGCCTGCTGTCAACATGTTCAGACCTCAGTCACAGCATGAGAACAATAAAAACAACGAATTTGTATTCGCTCTACCGTTGGTTTATTCTGCTACTGCCTTCAATTATTCATCCATTCATGCCGTCATTTCCACAGCAGCAAGAAGCCACTCGTGGATTTCTAGCTGCCTCAGTGGCAATTTGTTGATTTTATAGTTGAATTTTCAGCAGCTTCTTTAACTAATTGCAAATAACTGCAATTAATCTAATTAATTTTTAGCGACCAAAAGGTCTTTTCGTTTGTTCATCCATTGTTGTGCCTCCTGGTTTTGGTATTTACAAAGTAATGCCCTCATTCGTTATGTGTGTATGTGGGCACATTTTTAACATACGACAAACATTTTTTATATTTGCGAATTTCGTAGACCCAAAAATGTCTGAGCTTGGGTTTTATTCTGGCCGAAAAATGTCAAGATCAAAGCTAAATGATAAGAAGACAGTTTGATTAATTAACTTGTTATAAACGACACACATTTGTGTGCTTTAAATTTAAATAAACCAGATTCTTGAAAGTCCGAATGAATCATATATAATATAGATAATAATGGCTGAAATCTAGGTTGAATTTCGGTATTAACCAAATTTGCATACAAATAATGTACATAAATTTGATTTTAATTTTAAATTTATTTTAGAAAATGTATATACTAAGCTTAGAATAAATTTTCTAAAATAAATTAAACAAACACTCGTATAAATTATATAGGAATTGATTTATTAAAAGTCTTTGTAAATGAATAGATATTAAAACATTTCGTATAAGTACTTATTGGAAAAAATTGAAAAAACATGAAATTCGAATTTTATACACGAAATCAGATCTTATCTATTAACCAAACCTATAAATATATAGCACCAATTTTGTGTTCACCACATCATCAATTTCAGATCCAAGCAAACTTGAAATCGAACCAGCCGCTCTCATCCAATGAGAATGTCAATGAGTAAATTTCTAGAGAAACGAAATGAAACAAATGATCGCAAAATAATGTTAAACAAGTCGCAATTGAAAGTGACAGGCCAACATTTGCAAATTATCAAACAATCGTGTGCTAATGATGTAGGATCCTTGTCTTAGTTGGCTATACGAATATATTGAAATCAAAAGACAGACACGGCGACATAATATGCCTGGCTAATGGCTACTCAATTCCAGGCCAACAACAGCAACAACAAAAATGTATCTTTTATTGAGCATTTTACAAAACTGCACATCAAACCGCAGGGCCTGAACTCTGACCCTGCACAAACTCCAACTCTGGCCACGAATCACGAAGCAGCCGCCAGTCAAAAAAAAAAAAAAAAACTATTTATGCAAGTTCGGTGTAGAGTTGCCAACAAGCTGGTAGCACAGCGAATCCATCATTATCGAACGACATAAGTTTTTGTTTCTGTGATGGGATCGCAGACGTCGCAGAGGATTTTTGCCAGGAACTATACATAATAACTTGATCGCAGGAAAATCATTTATTGTGACACGATCATCAATTGTAAATTGAGTTTATCAATGCAATAAATCTCCAAATTGCCAACTTGTTCAGTTCAGTCTGATACTTCTTGCCGATTGGCTGCAGCTCTCAGCGCATCTCGTTGCCAAGACGTTGGATCTTATTGTACTTATATATAAGTATAAGAGTTAAACTCATCTCTTCTCTTTTTTTGCGTAATGAGTTTTATATTACCATTTTATAATTTGCCTGGGAACGTGCAATAATTTGCCTATACTTCTTCTTTTTTTTTGGTTGTTAAGCAAATAACTAAAATATAGATAAAGCTAAGCTTGTTTTATCTCAGCTCTGGTATGATTTCTTAACGATTCTTCTATAATTTATGTATTATCTAATTTTATAGAAAGGTTTTAATTCCTTAATGTACTACAAAGAGTTGATAATTGCTATACATTGAAAGATTTTCTTGTCATTAATATAAAGGTGTTGGGCAGAAAGAAACATAGCTGTTTACAAAAAATTGAAATAAAAATTGGTTCCAATATTATTTGTAATCGTTAATAAAACAAATGTTTAGAAAATCAATTAAAAATTATAAAATAATTTATAAAATAAATTAATTACACTATATCTATTGAAGTTTTTAATATTCTGAAGTCCGATTCATCTGTTGACGCCGATTATATAGATGAAGGCCACAAACAAAAACCACTTTTCTTTGCACGTTTTCACATTTTATATCTGAAGATTATTAATAAGCTTATCACACAGTAGTTCGCCTACAATATTATTTCAAAATAGTATAAAATAATAATAACAAAATCAAAAGTAATGTTATCATAACTAAGAAATGTGACACACATGATTTGTTTCCAAAAGTAAGTCCCATTGGAACTAGGTAACTTTATAATTATTTATGTGATATATGGGAAGTATCAAATAATATACACAATATATCTAGTTGCTCTACAACCTTCTACAATTATGAAAGATATACAAGAGCAGAATATCAACAATATGTACATATAGAAAGCCAGAGTGCAATTGTTGGTATAATAAAGATAACGATGCCCAAGTAAATAATGTATCTGGAAAGCTAATTACTTTTACAACGTTGACAGCAACGAAAAAATCTTTAATTTTCACACAATGAGATTGCCTTTTGTGTGATTACAACCCAACTACACTTTACAGTCTACACACGACTTACTTATCTCTTGACAGTTTGGGTATTTGTCTATATAATCCAGAATAAATTCTCGATTCTATTTATTTTTCGCTGCGTTGCTCTTAAGGAAAATTAAAGAAATTCCCCAACACCCACTCAAAATGCTCACGTTCAACCGATAAACCCTGTTCGAGCTAAGTATATCAGTCGGTAGTCAAAAAGTCAACAGCTATACCTAAAATTTATATACTTACGCACGTATCTAATCTTAGCAATACGTTTTATGGGGCGTTTATAACGACCAGAGGTTGAGATTTTTACTATAAAAGCAAATGAGAAACGCATTCAGAACGTTCAGTAGACACACGACCGTAGAGCATTCCATATTAATTAGTTGGTGTTGAAAAACGGTTAAATCTAAACCAAAATGGTTCACAGTGTTGGCGAGCAAAAGTTGAGTGTGTTTAGTGCGCGTTATCGCTGGCAGGTCATAGCCACCATGACAGGTGAATACCCAGAGTGATTTATATATGTATGTGCTTCCTGCATTATAATAATCTGATCTGATAAATAGTGCATATCATGACCTTAACCCACGGCATTGGTGTGGGCTGGTTGGCGCCATCGCTTCCACTGCTGGGCTCCGAACTGTCGCCGCTCGACAGACCCATCAGTATTGATGAGGCCTCCTGGGTGGGCTCCTTGATCGGCCTGGGCGCGCTCTCGGGCAATATAATCTTTGGACTGCTGCTGGATCGTTTGGGTCGCAAATTGAGCATGTACTTTCTGGCTATACCCAATATGGTAAATAAACTTTTATATATGTGGTGCAGCACCATGACTCAAGCACTTCCTAAAACGTAGACCTATTGGATTCTTATCTATACGGCACAAGATGTGACGTATCTATATGCGGGTCGTTTCCTAGCCGGCATTTCGGGCGGCGGCTGTTATGTGGTATTACCAATATTCGTTGCTGAAATCTCTGATAACAAGTAAGTGAGTGTTATAGATTAGGTTAAGCACGTAATTATGATTATATTTACTGATTGTCTAATACATTTAGATAGAAAGTGTTTTTGATTATTGTTATGTTACTTTGCGAAGTGTAAACTCTAGTGTATATTTCCGTTTCTTACTAGAACATTTTATAGTTTAAATTAGTTCTGTCAAGCCTAGGCTTTGGATCTTAATGAGAATTTGTAATAAATTGTTGCTAAAGGCAGTGCATATGTCAGTGCTGCTCGGTTCATATCACTTTATCATATAAATTCCAATGATATATTAGATCATACCTAAACTGTAATAGTCTCAACTAACTCTATTTAATATTTTCTCCTATACAATTTCATTATTGTTTGTAATACGATTCTGTTTTTTTCTGGACTCTTCCAGCATACGTGGCGCACTATCTTCCATGGCCATGATGTATGTTAGCATTGGCATGATTATGGGATATATACTCACCACCTATCTCAGTTATTATCTGATGCCGTGCATAGCTATATTACTGCCAGTTGTTTATCTGCTGGCCATCTGTGGCTTATCTGAGACGCCACAGCACTTGCTGCGCAAGGGACGCAACGAGCAGGCCGAGAAATCGTATTACTTCTATAAAAATCTGCCAGCAGCACATCCAGATAATGAATCAGCTCACAATGATGCAGCTAAAAAGGAGTTTGAGACATTCAAGCAACAAGTGCTTAACGGTGGTGTACAGCAAGACGTCGGCTGGAAAGATTTCTGTGAGTAGCTAGACAAACATAATGATAGTATCCGAATTTACTGGATTCTGCGTGTGTGTGTGTGTACCTTATGCTTACAGTTAATCTGCCTACCATGAAGATCTTTGCTTTGAACTTTACTTTGCTCGTTTGCAATCAGCTGTCGGGCAGCTTTGCGTTCTTCAACTACACCTCGCACATGTTCAACGAGCTGGAGACCCAAATGGCTGCGAATACCTGCACCATTATAGTGGGTGCTGTTCAGGTCTTGGGCATAATATGTGCCGTTATTTTGGTAGATCGTGTGGGTCGGCGGAAGCTGCTGCTTACATCCTTGGCGGGCATGGGTCTGGGTGAGCTAGGCATTGGACTGCTCAAGGAATTTGCCTCCAAGGAGTTTCTATCCGGAACCAATTGGTTGTCCTTGCTACTCATGTGCTGGGTGGCCTATATTGCATCCCTAGGCGTTATACCGCTTATATTTGTTATTATTATCGAACAGCTGCCCGCCAAGGTGAGTTCCGATTAGATACGATGACCATATCACAGAGTAACTCTTATATATGATCTCAACAGATACGCTCTCTGGGAACCTCCATCTGCATGGCCACGTTGAGCACCTTCATCTTTGTCTCGCTCAAAATCTATCCGATGATGATCTTTGGCCCCGGCCTGCCAGCCACCATGTATATGTCAGCCAGCGTTTGCACCATCGGATTTATCATATTGGGTCTATTTCTGCCGGAGACCAAAGGCAAACAGCTGACGCACTAATTGTTGACGCGTGTGAAATATGTTGATGATGACTTCAGCGACGGCATCAATCCCAGCGACCACGCCAAATTGTCGCTTTTGTATGGGCGACTCATTGCATAAGTTGGGATTACCATTATGACTGTGTGTGTGTGCGCACAAATACAAATACGGTTACGAGTACTTGCTTGTCAAGATTCGCCGCCAAAGCAGCTCACTCAACAGCTTGCCACAAATAGCATGGGGGCATGGCTCATCCTGAACTCTTGAACTTAATTCAATTTTAGTTTTTGCGGCTTTTCTGCTGTTGTTGTTGTTGTTGCTGTTGCTTGGCTCAGTTTCGCGTCCATTGTGTATGTGTGTAGACGGTCTGTATGTACCTTTGTTAAATATTATTTAATTTTGCTTGGAGAAAGTATGAGCGCTGTGATATGAGTTTAAATTTAGCATAACCAAATCATTTAGCTATAGTTATATATATTTCGCTAGACTGAACGTATTGTGAATAAAAAACAAATAGTTCAATAAGACTTAAGCATAGCTAACGTAAGTACTACATTTTAGACACAATAAACAAAATACGAGAGAAGAAATATTTAATCTGCTTTATTTTTTTACAAATTTCATCTACATATAGATTCGTCTTTATCAAGTGTAATATATAAAAATCGTAAAATCGGAGACATTTCCTGGAGACTAAAAATGACTCGAAATTTCACTGTGAGGCTTGAAAGTGCAATCCAAAGATTTTGAACAAACTTGCATGGTACCAAATAATTATTTTTAATCAAATGCAGTCTGCAGTTGATATGATACTATGAAAAACGCGGCAAGAAAACATTTTGGCAGCCGCTTTTTGCGATTATGAAATGATAAATGCGAATTAATGAATTCGCTTCAACAAACAAACAAAGACACATTTATTCCGAGAAATTATTTATTTCGGCTTTGTTTTAGCCCAAATGCAAAGGGATGTGCACGTAAAAGTGAACTTTCTGACAGGAGGACACACAAATCTCCGTAGATCTCAGCCCAGATCACAAGTGATGATAAATGAAGCCCAAGCGTCCATACAAGACCCACAAAAGGCGCAATTAACCCCACTTTGCAGCTTGCATTTGGGCTTTCGGGAGTGGAGTCCACTTAAGTGCAACAGCGTCTGCAAATGCTGCCTTCAAATGCAATTTCATAATTTTCACACGTTTTTCGAAACGTCAGCTTTTAACTGGGAGCCGTTTTTACAGTTGCTGACAAGCGGAAATTAACCGCAATGAGGAGAATTTGTAACAGTTTTTTTTTTTGGGTTGCACTCACGAGTGGCTTAAATGCAATTTCAGCTAATTGCGGGCACTGATTGGATTGATAAGCGCATATATTGACCTAGTGCACACAACTCGTCCAACTCCCACTGCGGATGACTTGCCGGAAGCTAAAAATGAAATGAATCAGAAAGGTGACGAAGACTAAATACCCTCTCATCCATTTTGCTGCTAAAAAATGTATTCTATAACGACAAAAAAAATACAAAAATTTAAAAAAATTAATAAATAGAAATAACTTAACTTAACTAGATAAGTATTAAAAATTATAATAATAAAAAAATTACGTGTTCCATTGCTCCAAAATTATTTGAACTCTTTAAGAATATTTTATATAAGCATATTTATTTTTAAATATGTTTAACCCTATTTTAACAAGTCTTATCAATAAACCCATTTCGACGTGACCTAATTAAATAAACAACTTTAAGCTGTTTGTTTAACCTTCCATTTCTTCAATATATGAAATTATTACCAGCTTAATTTTAATATATCTCTTTTCGAACCAAGCTATATACTTCCAATACGGGCTAGTTTGTTTTTGATGCATAACAAAAAAAATTAGTTATATTCTAAACGACAACACTATTATACACTCAGTTAGGGCATTTCCGACACATTCACATTGTGTGTGGCCAAATGCAATTTAAATCGCCTTTGAAAATAAGAAAAGTGCCAAACAATTGCGGCTAATGCGAGCGATTTCTCATTGTTAGGAGTGTTTGATTTGTGGTTCCACAAATCCGATTGTTTACTCTGGATTGTTGAAAGAAAGTGCTGCGAGTGGCAGCAGCAGCATCAGCAGCCGGCTATTGTCTGAGCCCGGCCTATGCGCCCATTGACCATTAATAGACCATTTGCGATGCAAGCTGTCATTCTTTGTATGTGTGTGTGTGTGTGGCAACAGTAGCAATATCCGCACCTTTCGCATTTTTTGTATCATTTTATTATAATTTTTCGCCACTCACCCACTGATCTCCATTGATACCACTTCAGATTGCAAGAGAAATAATTTTGAATTTCACACAATTGCCAACAAAATATTTTTTTTCGATTTATTTATTGTGTCATTGCAAATATCGTATTTATTATTTATTATTAACGCCTTTCTTTTGATGATGCGTCGTTTCTTTTGTCCGCACTTCTTTGCTTGAAATCAATTTATGCAATTGTAAAATATAATTTCAACTATTTATCTGCTCTAATTTCGGGGCGCTACGTTTTCGAAAGGGTGTTGTAAATAGAAGCCGGAGCTTATGGAGTTCGGCATTATATTTATGGAATGTTATACAATTATTTGAGATGTGCTTTTCTGCGTAAATTAATTGATAAAAATATAAATATATATATACATATATATATATATATAGCACAAATTTTTACTGTAGTTACCTTATATAATGAAGGTGCACATTAAGACGGGAGCTCGGGAAATTCAGTTGCCTATACGTAAACACATATAAGCATACATCTGTATTTATGTATTTATCTGTACATCTGTATGTTCGTGTACATATGGTAGAGTGTATTTTCTATTATACCATATTATCCGCAGCATACATTCATGCATTCATTAATATACAAATACAAAAGTAGTTAGCACTAGGGACTTAAAAGTATGAAAACCTGAAAGGCTAACTTGAGTTTCTGGGAATCACAAAGTAAGACGACATTTAATATTACGTTAACGATAATACAATGTGCACTCATAGATATATTAATAGATTGTTGAATCTTATTCTTACTCTATGTATGCAAAAGGTTCACACTCTTCTATTTTGCGAGCAACAAGAATTTCATAAGCGTATTATGTTCAAAATCAAGTCAAGCTTCCTTGCGTGCCAAGCAAAGAGTTGATTGAACTCTTAAAAACCCTAGAAAGCAACATTTATAAACTAGTTTCATTTACATTTTATTTAAATGCAAACCAAAACAAAAGAAAATAAAAATAAAATCTAAAATATGCAAATATGCAAAGCCATTTTTGGGGTTCACTTCAAAACCTGCCGTTTGGTGTGAAAATTAATAGATGCTCGGCTCAAAACTTATTGTGAATATGAAAAACTGGACGAGCTGACAAGCAGCTACCGTTCAAAATATGAAAAAATGAAAAAAAAAAAAAATAATAAACGACTTAAAACTGGAAAAATTGTCTTGTGAATGCACAAATAAATTAACCATGATTAATTGAAAGGTCAAGCGTTGAGCAGCGGCTGTGAACTGCATGAAGACCGAGCAAAGAGCTGGAAGCTGTGAAGACTTCATCAAGGCAGTGTCTCAACTGAAACTAAAAAATGCTGCGTTAATTGGCAATTGTTCGGATGTGTTTCGCGGATGCGCAGCACAAATAATTCGTCTGCTATGCCAATGTGACCTTCAGTGATCTGTGGATAGGCAGTCGGGATGGTACGGGTTTTGGCCATTTAAAGAACTAGACTTTTAATTAATTTAATGCCGACGACTGAAGTGCATAGAAAATTTGACTACAATTAACGCTGCGCCTCATTAATACCTTTTATTTTACTCTGTTTTTTTTTTTTTTTTTTGAAAGGGCCGGAGCGTATATTAGTTTACACAATCTTTGTCAGTCTTTTTCTTTTACTAAATGCAAGCTTTTGAAATATTTATAAAAGGAGTAAAAATAACAAAACTAATTTTGGGATACTTGTAAGAATGAAATACAATGCATTTATTAGTCCATATCTTTATATTGCGGAGTATCTTGCAGTCTAACCCTTTCAATTGCAACATTTTAACTTGATATTTTATTGTTTCTCGTGTTGGCTGCTTTGTAAAGTGTCTGCCAATAATAATTAATATACTTAAGTTGATGCCAGGCTTCAGCTGCGAAAAGGTCATTAAGTCACGACAGGTAGCCGAAAATAATTTCTTACAGAACATCAACACACACTCCGAAAATATGAATTTATTTAAGAACATTAATTAAGTGCCAGACTCCGAGGGTCCAATTGCGCCATAGACATCGCGACTTATGAAATACTCCGATGCCGGTGTAGCACAAAATTAGCTATGATCAAAGAATGGTCAAGGAAAGAATGTTCTAGAAGGCATAAGCACCATTCGGATTGGTCCAACAACTAATTAACTGCCAATAACTTTCAATTTGATGGGTTTCTTTTCTCTTTTCTTTAATTCTTATTTATGTCTGTATCTGACAGCTTTATCGCTGTGAAGATTCTATAGAAAGAACAAAAAGTTAATACGATATTAATCTTTTGGTCAAATACAAAAAATGGAAAGGAACCTCAGCGAGTGACGGAATTTTTTGTTTTTTTAGCCATGACTTTGGGTTATGCAATCAGAGATCTTATACAATGAATGATGACCATGTGCTGCAAGGGAAATTCTAACGTATATAACCGAAAGTTAAATCGTTTTCATTTGGTAAAGAGGAGAAGCTTTAGTTACTTCCCTATAAAAAGTGAAGTTTAGAACATAAAAAATTAAAATAAATAAAAATAATAAGTAAATATATTTTTAATAAATAACAATGGTATATAAAACATTTGCTAGAAGGCAATTCGATTTGAAATATCTATTTCCTTTAAGTCCCAAAAAAAAAGAAGCATTCAGAAAGGCTTACTGGGTTATAAATCCAAATAGAATTTTTAACTCTGTGTCGGATTCTTAAACGTAGTATTGATAGCATCTACTGGCTACTTTAATTGATACACCTATTTTAAGATTCTTCTTTGGCCTCGTTTCTGAACTTTGCATCAGGTATTTTGCTTTAAGTGCGCCTTTCTTAGAAGTCTTAAATAACCAACACACCTGCCGCCGCTCAGTAAAGCTAACAAAATCCAACCCATTCCGTAGAGGAACTGAAAGACCCATATTAAATTGTAGACAGGTGTTTGCTTAAAGAAAAGTTAAACAATTTAAATTGTTGCCCGCTTGTCAGCTAATTTTGTGGACGTCTGTGGGGTCTAGCCGTCGTCCGGTGTCAGTCTGCTGCTCAGCTGACAATCCAAAAGAGCAGTCAGCTGCCACGTGGCACCTGTATATGGCCAAAACACGAACTGGCTCCACACTAGCTGCTGATAAAACATCAAATATCCATATATGAATGCCATATTCTTGACTGCAGTAACTGCAGTTAAGCGAATGACAATGGAACTGTGCCCCCCGCCTCAGGCTGATTTGAGCTAGACGACAATTATGCTGGCTGCATGTTTATTTTGGCCCCTTGTCGTTTGGCTCTGGCAAGTTGTTGTAAATTTGGTTATAAAACAAACACAAATGACATTATTCGCACGAAAAACAGGATGGCTGCGGTCGAAGTTGCAACTGCAACTGCAACTGCGGCAGCTGTTGAGGCACGACTTTCTTCTTTAGCTTCTTCGTAGCTGCAGCTACAAAAACAACAAAAACAACATTAACAATCAATTCGACAGCGACGACATTTGCGCAGGCGCCTTTGTTGCGCTTTAACTTCCGGAAATCACGTTGTTGCTTGTGATAATGTTTTTTGGGTTTTTTCATTACTTTATTTTATTTTTTAAGGAACGATACAAATCACAAAAAAATACGTTGTGCACGCGAGCAAAATTACAAAGCTAACAAAAATCTGCCGTTGTACAAGTTTTTTTAATCATGCTGTTGATGTGGGCGAAAGAAACTGACGGATTGCTTGATGTACCTGAGTGATAAAAGAATGTTAAACAGTTTAAGGAAAATAATAAGTATTAGGCAGTGTATTTTTATATTTTTCAAACGTTTGTATATCTAAAATACTTTTCCCAACGCAAGGTAACTTTGACTGCCTCACACTTATCATGCAGCTTAAGATCCAGTTAAATATTTGTAGAGAAATTATAATACAGCGCAGGTCTGGCAATGCTTAAGTTTAATAGGTAAATAAACTACCTTTGCATTTATGGCTCTAAGATTAGAACCATCGAATTATTAAGCAACTAGTTCATACAATTTACTAAGAATCTGTTCCCAGTCAATAATTTAGCAGCTAATGCGAATATAATTAATGGAGCAGCCGCAGTACAAATTGACGCCCAAATTAACTGGCAGTCAGCACTCCCCGTAACCTATAGCTAATGTCAGAGGCAATTGACTTGGGCGCAAATAGCTGAGTGCAGGCACCCAATGAACTTAAGAGTTGTCTGCAATTGCCAGACATTCTTGATTCATACGGCAGCCAAATGGCCTTCTAAAGTGGCAATCAATTTTTTCTCTCTCTCCCTCTCTCTGTTTTATTTTTATGGTTTTCTGTCGTCTTCTTCTTTTTGAGCAAAAAAGTTAACCACGTGTTGCGACTGTGGGGCTGCGACGGTGTTGAAATGCGCGATGATCCAACGGCAAGTCGCTCGCTCGTTACCTTAACGGCATTTGACCCCCAAGCGTTTGGAGAGTTAGCCACGTTTCCTTGGCGGGCCGAGCCCATTCATTTCTTTGGTTATCAAAAAAAGCAGCCATGGCTGGCATCTCGGGCATTCAAACAATATGTTTTCTATATACCTTATTTTCTGCACAAATCACTTGACCTTAAGCATTGTTGTAATTTATTTGTCGTTTCCCACACACATAAGCGACTATATATATTTTTTTTCTGGTTGTTGTTAGAAGCTCAAAGCTGTAAACTGTATTACGACAATTTTTGGGTTACTCGAGCTCTGGGTCTCAGTTGGGCTCTTTTGTGGATTATTGTGCAACAATTCCCGTCTGCCATTGTTGCGGCCTGTGTGCAGCAGCAATTGGGCTTGTGCTGCCCCTTATCAGCACTTGGCTGCACTCGGGGCTGTACACCGAATGATATAATAGTCAGCGTAATTGAATGCCAGCAGCTATTAAATAAGGCTTAAGCAGAAAAAAAATGTATATTGATCGGAAATTAGAAAAAGATTTTCAAGTACTTGATAATTCTTATAACAATTATCAATTTTGTTACCATTTCCGTTGTGTTACGTTTTGTTACAAACATCTTCCGGTTGTTAAAAAATCAATTGTCAATTATTGTTACAGAACATGACAAGGCTCCGTATAAATACCCTGTACTTAAAAGTAAATATTTTATTATTATTTTTCGATTTATAAGAAAGTTATTAGCTGGGAGAAGAATGCGTTAAAATATATGTATGCATATAGTAAAGTACCCAAAATTTCCTGCAATAATTATAATTAATATATACCCTATGCCAATTAATTTTTATCACGTTTTAGAGACTATACAAAGTCTGGATGGGATTGACTGTTGATGTTAATCATGTATATAGTATATACTATTTAAAGAGTCGCCTGTTGCCTGTCAACTGTTACACTGTACTACCTCTTTGCCTGACTGCAGGGTATTTCTACCGACTTATATGCTACTCGATAGTATCTTTAGAGATCCCTAAACATAACTGTTAAATAACAGGCATTATATAATCTGCTATGCTATAATCAAATTAAATTCCAATTACCCTTAACATGAATCCAAGTAACCAAACCCTCGCACCTTAGCTCAACTGTCTCAGATGCGCAGATTCCAACATGTAGTATAACACTTCCGGACTAATGAAAGGCCAGACGAGCCAGCCCATTCGGCAACATCTTCATTAGCAGCGCCGCCGACAATAATACGATATGTGAAGGCTTCCATTTCAATTGAAGGCCAGAGAGTAGGGGGAAAAGAAAGGCGCAGATGTGTTGACGCTTACAGGCGTTCAGTTAGAGAGTGCTGCCAAATGGGCACAAAAAGAGTTTTCACGCTTTTCCAACTTAGTCGGGAATCGTATTGGACATCAGCTAGTTGGGCCGGCTTGGGACGCCCATTTAAGTGTCCAATAATTCAATCACATCAAACGCCAGTCTAATGGCTCTCTAAAACGCCGTTAAAAGGCTTTCAATTACACCAATTTGTTCAAAATGTTGAGAAAGTTGGAAAATGTCCAAACAGTGCCGACAGTAGGCATTGATTTTCATCGAAACGTAAAATACGCTCGAGCTCTACACACAAATTATATACATTCATTCTACATGCTCAGCTCGAGCGAAACACAACTGTTTTGATTTCAAAATTCTAAAAAAAAAAAACTTAAAATTAAAAGGAAAATTAGTTAATTATAATTTTTAGATTTTTTATTGCACAAAATTTGTACTTCTAAAATTATATATGGAGGTTTTCTATACCTTTTAGTTCTTTTGGACTCGTTCAATTTTGGAAGAACAATACGCATTTTTCTCATTTATTTTCGGCTTCAAAATTTGTTTACACTAAAATTATTTTTGTGAAATAGTTTTTTTTTTTGGTCTTGCGACCGTTTAAATATAAAATTGTATTTTTGTTGCTGCTAATGAATAGTAAAAAACTAAATTCAAGTGATGTCGTGGAGCCCGTGACGATTGTCAGCTTCTGCAGGACTTTACTGCATGAAGTGCTGATATTTCTGTTGTTCTTTTCGATATCGGCGGTGGTTTTCTTCGTGTTCTTCTCGGCGTTGAATAGTTTTGCCATGATGGCCACAAATAAGCCACGACCCTTTAAATATTGTTTATGGCCCAAAGAATGGTGCAGTATACTCAACAAGCAGCCCAAGCTGCATGAGCCGGAGTCACTCGTCATGCAGCAACAGCATATAGAACGGTCGCGGCCAAAATATGATCGTTTTTTGGGTGAGTAAAGATAAATCTACTTGCGATATGTATCTTCATCTTGCTATATTTTATAGATTACATGTTTAGAGCCACATAGCGGCACAATAATAAATACATAAAATATTCTGTACATATAATACATGGTTAACCGACAGCACCTTACTTGTCATTATGCACACATCGTATGTTCTCCACAACTGTGGCGTCACTTAAGCGTTCCGAACTGTCGGGTCTTTCCTGATGAAGTTTGAAGTTAAATTATATATATGCCACCGGGCAAATGTCTCTCGTCAAGATTGAGACATAGTCCCGGGTCAATATAAACAATATATGCATATATAATATATGCACTAACGGATACAATTCTCAAAAATTTACATAAAAATACGTAACCTCAACTATGAGATGAGCAGCACGCAACTCTCAAATGGCCATTATCAATACATGTGTTCTGACGCCCAGCTTTTCAATGCGTTTCGGTGGCAGTTAAGGCAAGTATAATTATAAATTTATTTATTATTCTAAATTGCAAATCCACAGCTGCATCCCGATTCATTTCCAAAGATGTCTTCCAATATACAACAAAATCCATACCCCCTAACAAAAAAATAACTACAACTTGTTAATTATATAAATACACATCCCCCCCATTCTCTGAACAAATAAATTGCATAATTATATTTACCATAAATAAAATAAATAAATGATCATTGGTTATTTAAATTTGCATCTGGTAATCTTTAAATGGACAGGGGATATACTAAAGGTCTTGTATAAATGGGTGTATTGTATTGTAGATGCTCATAGTCCCCGCGCAGATTGTTTTCGATAATCGATAACTTACTGCATTTCCAAGCAATCGAATAAAAATCGATATCGATATCCTGTTTGAGCAAATTTGGTAAATAATAAGAGCTAGTCACCAAACTTGACATAGCTTCTAAAATAGAATTTACATATGCGTTTGATGTTGGAAGAGTGTTCACGGTATTACCTAGTCGGGAACTCCCGATTAGAACCTCTACCATATATATATATATATAAATGAAAACGAATAATTGAATACTTCGACTTTGTTCCTGATGAATGACACTAGGACAAAGCTCTTAACAAGCTGGCTCAAGCACATAGCAGCATGGCATTTCGCCAGCGCTGGTAGATTTGCAACGATGCACTTGGTAACAGGATGTATCCAAAGCATGGAATGTCTTGATATTTCAGTTAGGGAATGCACCGAATTACTCAAATGTAGGTGAACAAACTGAAGTGTAAGCTGTCAAAAAATGTTTTCTTATATATATTCCGTTCCATTCGTACTAATTTAAACTTTTCGGCAGGAAATTTGAAATAAAATTGTTCATGATTTTTAGATGTTTTCTTAGCTTACGGAAATGAAGTTGGACAAAAATAAGCTCGCGTCGAGACCTCGGCTGCTGTTCACAGTTGGCGGCTACTTGGACACACTGTTGAGTCGTATATTCTGTTTCCTAGTTCTGAGCGCAATAGCTTTGCTGATTATCTTTACCGTTGTCGTTGCCATGGACGATATAGCCAAGCTAAGGAAAAGACAAAACTTGCGCTTGGAAAACTGTAGCGAGAACAAAACACGCAACGGTCGTTGTTATTGGCCCTCGGATTGGTGTCGCATTCTGTACAATTGCGACTGGAAAGAGCCAATGCGCAGGCAATCGACTTCCAAACAACAACAGACCCAGCAACTACAGCCAGACGTACCGCCGTGCTCAACAGCAGTGCATAGTAAGTCTGAAATTATAAAGTTCCTGGTGCATCAACACCCACGAAAAGAAGTGGAGCAACAGCCGCCTGTCGCCAACGAAGTACTGGAGGTGCCTTTCAACTTGGAGCAACTGGACACATCGTAAAAAAAATTGCTTTTTTTTGGGTAAGCAATTCGTATGTCCAAATATTGTATACATTTTAATGAGGTGTACTCAGATATTTTTCGGACTATCAATTGAGTATGCGGCCACCTCTTTTAAATCGGCAGCCCATCTAGTCATTCTTGTTCAAATATATTTAGTAATGCTTGTGACGTCACTCACCAGACCGAACTATCGGGTCGTCCCTGATTAGCTTACACTCATATATAAATATATACATATATATGCTCCTAGTATATATGTATATATTTATATTACATATGCCACCGGGCTAATGTTTCTCATCAAGATTGAGACATATGTTGTCCCGGGTCAATATTTTATTTAAAACACCCTCAACATTTTATAAAGGGTTTCCCAATTCCCAACTATGAGGCGAGCAACAAGCAACTCTCAAATGGCGACTAGTATTATTGCATTACCTGACGTCCGGCATTCGACCTTTTTTTTTTGCTCGATTGACAAAGGTAAGTCCTAACGGAATACAAATCGAAAAAATAAGTTTTCTAATTTTCTGACTATAGCTGTTGCTTTCATTCTGGAAATTCAAGGACCAAGTCCACAATCCGAACGCAATTTTTAAGCAAATTGACAAATTGTTTACATGAAAATACAAATTTTTAGAGATCCCAATAAACTTTTTAATATATTTCTAATGCTATGACAGCTTATATGTTCAAGGTTCATAAAAAATAATACATACATAAAAGAAAAGATGCCATGCATTTAACTTAAATTTACCAATTAAAATGTGTTAGTTGACAGGAATATAAGAACAGCCTATCGACCATATCGGCCTGAAATTTACATGTTCCCCTTTTTTTATTCGTTTTTAGGTATGGGGATCATGTTTCCCAGCATATCTGGGTAGATCACTCTGTTCATGTCAGGATCTGTTCATTTGACAAGCCACGCTTTACAGAACTGATAATTGAATTGGCAAAAAAAGACCCGCTAAAAACAGCGACTAATTATGTGGCTTATATATAATCTATAATCTCTTCACTATTTCTGGCTTAACTAAAACGTTTCCTTATTATTCAAAGATAAAGTGACTTCTTTCGGCATTTGAAAAATATAGTATATTATATATTAAGCTTGTGTTTAAACAATTAAATCAAGTTCAAATTTAAAACGGAACTCTTTTTGGCAAGCCCTCAAGATTGCTTAACTTTAAATAGTAAAACAATAACGACTATCCCCAATCTCAGAATACTCGGAGAGTGATTCAAAAGGCAATCTAAAATCTAAGATGCTGGCAAATGGTCGTGTAAGCTTTTCGTCGGATAGACATCTTGAGCAAACAAAGCTGAACATTTTTTGGGCAAACAGAAGTTGCGCATGCGCATAATGAGTTAATTGAGGTATTGAAAAAGAAAAACATGAGACGATGAACGCGCACATACACACACACACACACATCCACACACACAGAACTATAGCTTTAATCTTCAATCCAAATGAAATGAAGTGCATAATGTTTGCATTATCACGCTTTGCAGTTAGCCACAAAAAACAACAACAACTATGCAATACAATGCAATTACAATCCCAGGTAGCTGCCGCTGCTGTTGAAGGGCAAAGCTAAGAGACAACTTTGTTGTTGTTGCCTTGCATTTGACTTGGCCAAAATCGTGGGCGTTGCTGCAATCGACAATGGATTTTGGGGGTCCTAAGGTCTTGTCGTTGCGGCTGTTGTTTCAATTTGCTGATAACTACAGCTGTATGTATAATTATTTCGCTTTGGCATAAAGTCATAACATTTGCATAGACCAGCAGCTGACGGTAAGAACGCGAGAAGCGTACTAGTCAAAGCAAGCTATACAATTGCATAATTGCAACCACAAGACAGGCTATGTCCGACTAACAGATATCCTCCATTTGGAAACAATCAAATTTTCCTTGTACGCCAAATACAGCTAAGCCCAAATTAGAACTGATACTGAGAACAGATCACACTACTATGGATTATTTTTATTTATTTAAGCAATGAATGGAATGAAATTTATTCTGTTTTATGATTTTTAAAAATCGGTTACGGACTACCATATGATTGATTTTGAACGTCAGTTTATTTTTCCTTGACTTATAGATAGATATATGTAAATCAAATAACAAGAACCTAAAATTACCTACCTGCTGTAGATTCGTATATTGTTGGCTTAATAAATCACTGCATAGATTTACGCTTAGGTACAAAGTTATTTGCTGACTGTGGCTACCCTTCTAACAAGGTAAGAACTATCTTTGAAATAACAGGGTATAACAAGCATATATTTTTGGCATTTGTTTTGCCTTTGCCATTGACAACGGGGCGTTTGTTTGGCTTTGTCTTTTATCATAAAATTTAATTAAAATAATCAGTGGTTATAGCGCTCATACAACGACGAATTCAAAATTTAAAAAAAGATTGTGAGAGTAATTTCAAAATATCCAGCTGCATCTTAGAATCAAATTCGGCGGTCAGACTGGAGCTCAGTTTTAATGGCATCCCAACACGAAATGGAACGTGCAGCATGGAGTTTTTTTTTCTAGCTGTAATTCTTGATCAATGATTTTGAATATTTATGAGGCGCACTTAATTAGGCGGCCTTAACAATATTATGACTATATTTATGCATGACATTTTCCAATGTTGATCGCAAAGTTCGCTGCTTGAGTCATTCGTTAATGCTGGGAAAGTTTTTGCGAAATATCAGTTAGAACCAAAGCAAGTTTATTGACCAAATCACAAAACAAAATAAAGCAGTTGTCTTCGTTTGCGTGTTTGACATTCTCATTTAATGTTATAAATTGCATAATCATGAATGGCTTGAATGTATTCATTTTGGGCCTTTGTCGCCCGGCTTTGTTGGTGACACAGATTTATTTATAGCAGAAATTTGTCAAGTTTTGTTTTGTGCACAAAAAAAGCCGGTTTGAAGCAATCAGGCGAAATGGTTGCGATAACAAAAGATTAAAAGCATTTATTGCCAATACTAAATAAAAAGCATTGCTCTATTGACCACATCTCTTAAACCAATCCATTGGAAAGTACATAATTGAATGGTTAATTAGGATTATGTTAGTTGATAACTCGTTGCTTCGCTATCATGCTGTTCACGCGAAATGGCCAACAAATTGGGCACAACGTCTACGCACTGCTCGCCGAAAAGAAAAACAAAACAAATTGGCACTGCATGGAGTGTTTTAAAAATTATATTAGTCTTACATGGTGTACTCAATTTATGGGTCTTTCTTTCTTTAGCCATTTACCGTTTTTGGCAATTAAATAAAACATGCCGCTGTTGGGTCTCTGGCAATAGATGCCGCTTACATAACCATATGTAAATTATGCCAACAAATGAAGAAGAAATATTGCACGAATCCGAAGCGATGCGAGCATTGCATGCACAGGAGGAACACACCTCAAAAAAAAGACAGCTCGCAAAAAGGGAAGCTTAAGTTGGTAGCAGCCTTCAGCTTGCACACACTCACACACACACACACGAACCCCACCCCCACCCCCCACTCTCCCTTATTCCATCTATCTACGTACACGTGGGTTCAACATTGGCCCAGCCCATGGACCGCAATTGAAGCGCAGCCATTGACAAGATAATTTCCTAGGAGCTGCATGCGCGCAGTAAATCCATTCAAATACACTTCACAAATGGAGACTGACACTGTAACAAAATATTTAAAACAAGTAATGATGATATTTTGTATATAAACAATAATTTATAATAAACAATGGTAGATATAAAAGTAAAATAGAATATAATAAAATTCTAGAAACAAAACGAATCGATATATGTATGTTTATTACTAAGAGCTTTCAAATGCCCTAACCTACATTTTTATATGAAAACAAGTGCCAACTCTTAAAACTCTAACTCTTAAATACATGTTTTTTATTTGTGTAAACTTATTTAAAGAATTTTATATACAGCCGTAAAAGTTCGGAATACACTCCTACCACATACATATGTAGAAGCGCCCATATAGAGTATATAAAGATGCCCATGCTAAATCTGGCTTTTCATATTCATTGTCCGTCTTCGTTTTACAATTTGTACGAAATGGTAAGAAGAAGACAAACGCTGGCCACGACTCAGCCAGCTGAGTAAAATGCCTAAAATTGGCTAGTTTCGTAGTTCGCGTTAACTTGACTGACTACCAATTGTTTTTTAGCCACGAAACTGCGACTCCTTCACGAACGATTTCAAACACAAACTGCCGCCAACATTCAAGAAGGTTCATAATTATCGATACCCCAAACGGTTCGTTGTGGCCGGGGCTACGGTCTTTAGTGGGGCTGTGGCTTCTGAAAATGTTGTAACCGTTTCGATTGCAAAAGAAAATACAACAAAAAATGTAACTATAGGAGCTGCCAATTGCTGCTGCTGCTGCTGCTACTTTTGGGCTAAGAGTGCAAAGTATCGGGTTAAATAGGTCTACTCCACTGGCACACAATCTTATGATATTCGTTTGGCTTCGTATACATGGGGTCATATGAAATGAATCCCATCCATTGGGAGCACACCTAAATGAGCCTATTTTATTGCTCAATATTTTCGTACCTATATGAATATAGACGCGCTTGTGATTTATTACGATCTGCCTTAGCTTATGTTCGATGATAAATATGTTTTTAATTGAATTATGTATATGTACTTAAACATATTTGGGGCGAGGCATAACAAATTAGTTTTTCTACTAATGCCTATAGATAGCTGTGTGTATATAACATGCAGGTCAATCACAACTCACAGCTGACAGCAGCCCTCATTTATCTCTTTATACACTACTGGGCACTTGAATAGAAACTTGTATAAGCAAAGTTGAGAAAATCATAACGCTGTCTTATATATATTTAAATAACAAATCGTTAGATTTAGAATAAAGAATTAATTAAGCATTAAACACAATAAAATATGTTAGAGTTCGTTGGGTTTTGGTATTATACAATTAAATACTTTTTATATAGTAAACAAACTAAAACCTAATTATATTTAGCTAAGAAATATAGGTTATTTTTGTAAACAAGGTATTAAAGAAATGTGCTAAGCTTATTTATTTTATTTTTAACATTACATGACAATTTGCTAAAGAATACAAATTACCTACCGAACCTCACCAACCGACAATAACTGTATTTATGTTTTATATTTACACAACAAACTAATTAAGCACTTACATACAAAAGAAGTGATCCAAAGCAAACTATTTGTATTAAATAATGCATTTCGAGCGAAAATCATATTTTTTTTATTGAGCGGCCACAAAATTAACTTTTAAGGGCAACCGCAAAATATCATCAGCTAATTTTTAGCACTTGTACCCAATTGCT